GTGTGTGTGTGTGTGTGTGTGTGTGTGTGTGTGTGTGTGTGTGTGTGTGTGTGTGTGTGTGTGTGTGTGTGTGTGTGTGTGTGTGTGTGTGTGTGTGTGTGGGGGGGGGGGGTTACTTGTCTTTGCATGTCAGTATACCACCCAAGCGAAGCATTTCATTAGCGGTCTTAGCACTTCGCGTATGTGTGTATCTGTCCGTGTGTGTGCGCGTGCGTGCTTGCGTGCGTACGTGTGTGTGTATGGATGTGCGTGTGTCTGTCTGTGTCTGTGCGTGTGTCTGTCTGTGTCTGTGTGTGTGTGCGTCCGTGCTTGGGGCCGTACGTGTGCGCGTGCGTGCTCGAGGCCGTACGTGTGTGCGTACGTGCGTGTGGCGGTGTATGCATGTCATTGGGCAGCATCCGGAGGCATTCTCGCCTGTATATATACGCTGGTTTCGTCGTTCACACCGTCGTTCTCTCACTCTCTCGAACAGCTACGAACTCTCGCAGGACTGCAACACGGACTGCGGATGCAACGTGGAGAAATACGCGCCGGTGTGCGCGTCGAACGGCGTCACCTACTTCTCTCCCTGCCAGGCAGGCTGCAGCGACGTCTACACACTCGGGGACGCCAAGGTAGTGATCTGTGTGTAGTGTCTGGTGTCTGTGTGTATCGCTCGCGCACCGCAGAGGGAAGGTGGTTGGCGTAGATTTATAACAGCCTGTTCTGCTAGCATCTATGACAAATACGACATACGCATATACGCTCTCCTATGTACACTATTTGTCATAGGAAGATTCTTCCTATGGCAAATATTGTTGTATGTGTTGTGCGCATCATATAGGAGTTTAGGAGCGCTATTATGAACACAAGCAGTGAATTTCAGCTGTAAAGCGGAACGAAGTTGACTCGCCAATATTTGTCATAGGAAGAATCTTCCTATGACAAATAGTGTCATAGGAGAACGTATATGCGTATGTCGTATTTGTCATAGATGCCAGCAGAACATGTTGTGTATAAATTGTTGCCGTTTGTTACGAGGTTTATGTGTACATCTTGTTGAGAATTAACCCCTTGGCTACGGTAGTACGGTGGCTTTACGCTCACTGACGGCGATATTGGGACGTGGTGTACGGGCTTTACGACGTTTACGTATGCGTGCGCGTACGCGTGCGCGCGCACGTGTATACGTGTGTGTGTGTGTGCTTGTGCGTCGCGCACGCATGCGTGCTTTCCGTCACTCTCCGCCTCCATTTTTTCGTTGCAGAATTTTACGGGCTGCTCCTGTACGCCAGATGGCGTGGCGACTGCCGGCAAGTGTGACAGCGCGTGCACCGGCGCCATGGTTGCGTATTTCATTCTCCTCGGCGTTGGTGGCCTGCTAGTCGCACCTGCTAACGTAGCCAGCTTCTCACTAAAAATACGGTGAGTCATATGTACTGTGTTGTCTGTCAAACACTGACAAAATCTGTTTAGGAAACTTGATAAATGTATATAGGCCCTATGTGCGTTTGTGGGTGGGTCCATCTGTCCGTGCGTACGTGCGTGTGCGCGCTTGCATATATATATATGCACGCGTGCGCACGTGCCTGCGCGTGCACGCGTGTATATATATATATATTTCCCTAAATAAGAGCAGACGCAAGAGAGGGGATGCCACGTGTTTACGATGGCGTATGAAATCAATAGTAAGAGAAATACTTGGGTCGCGAGCAGGTGTTTTGCCGAGACGGTTTCCCTAATTGATGTCTCTATACTTGGTTTCCTGTTAATTAAAACCGAGCAGGTTGACAGTGGCAGCATATATACGATATACACTGATGTACGATATACACTGCGTCTAGCTGTCGTGTCAGACGCGCGTGTGTTTGTGTGTGTGTGCATGTGTGTGTGTGTGCGTGCGTGTGTGTGTGTGTGCGTGCGCGCGTGCGAGCATGCGCATATGCGTGTGTGCGCGAGAAGAAACCAGACTGCACTACGTCATTGTGAGACTCCATGCTGCATTATAAGACACTGCGATTGTTGACACGAGGGTACACTAATTAAGACGCTATCGCAGTATTAGCCGAAGTGCTACACTATAATTTATAGAAGCCGCCATATTATTCAGCAACAACCGAAGACAAAGTGGGCACACGAGCATTCATTCACTCACACGCCGGTTGCTCGCAACAATCAAGTCGCTGCAATCAGCAACTGTAAGAACTGCGCTTCCTCCGACTGATATTGTGATTAATCGCCAGGAAAGGAAGAGAGAGAGAGAGAGAGAGAGAGAGAGAGAGAGAGAGAGAGAGAGAGATCGACCGGGAGAGAGTGAAAGCTGATACTGTATCATAACGTATATATAGTGTACAAACAAAATTATATAATGAAAATATTGTAGGCTGCATGCAGGACATGCATTTAATTTCGATAAAGTAGACGGAGTTTGCGTTTTTGTTTCTTTGTGGACTGCTTGACCCGAGAATCTTGAGAAATTCTGTCTTTCCGTATTTTTTGTTACAAATTTTGTTGTGGTAAATGAAAGCTTCTTTAGCATGAAACAAGGCAGGGTAGGCGCCCAGTCCGCGTGCCACGTATGGTTTTATTCGGCCTGGTAGTTAAGGAGCAGCAGATCCGGCACCCAGGCAAAGATATTGCGCTTATAGTGTATATATGTATATATATTGTAAACAGGTAGTTTACATAAGTTTTAAGAAATCAAACTCCTATTTAAAATTAAATTGCCAGCAGATTATTCTTGTAATAACTAGCTTGGGCAGCAAAAACAGGTTTAATGGAGCTGTGTGAGACACGAGTCTTCCACGACCGGGGTCTTTGTGCATGAAACACAACATCTAATGTTGTTATTGTTTATGCATGTGGTAGCAAGAATAGAGCGTACACGATTTCTTCACACGATTCGTGCCGCTGAGCGGAGCCTCGAGGTCGCTCTGTCCGGGTTACCTGTCTCTCTGTCTGTCTGGACGAACTGCAGCCGGATTTACGCGCG